AAGGCGAAGGGAAAAGATGGCGTCTAGCGGCGGTTTTTTAACTGACAGCAGGGAGGCGAATCGGCGGGCCATGATTACCTATTTTGTGGAGATCGTGCCCAGACGTCACGCGGAACCCAAGGAACGGCCCGGATTCCCGCTGGAGTGCCCACGTGGACTTTGCAAACTCCCCATTCTTCCACTTGGCCCAGCTGAAGCAAGAGGAGTTGGGGGGCTTATGATGGGCCGAAACCCAGTGGGCGGCCCAACTGAACCATTTACACCACTTCGGGTCAGACACTCGGAGAATACCCAGGTCTGGGCCGGCCCATGGAGCCAGGCCCGGTTGACTTTAGACCAAACATAGCTGGCAGAGCCGGTTACGGAGAAGGAGACGGAGCAAATTGGCCGTTACAGAGCCAGAAAAAGGGGATCGCGCCCTTAACGGGATAGACTCCATCGATTATGTGTTACCCTTAAGTGCATGTAGCTCAAGTATAAATAGATGAGACCCAAAAGGAGGAAATTCAAGCTAGATCAAGCTAATAATACATACCCAATTCTCGAATTCTCGTTCTGAATTTTGTTCTTACGATCCGCTTCGTGAATCGGATCATTTGGTGGATTTATTGTCCATCACCTAGTTTCAATGTTATGATATGTTTAATCTACACATGCTTGAAATGTAAAAGAACATTTATATTGATGTAACTGAGAAATATACGAGTTCAGATGTGTGAAATGCATGCTCGTTCAACGATAAGGGAATGTCTCAACTTGGTCCACCTCCATTGTCTACATATTTAACTTCTTCTAAGTGTGTAAGGGTCCGTTTGGTATATGGAATTGATGGAATTGGAATTGAAATTCCATGAGATTCAATTTTATAGAATTGAATTCACTAATTCCAATTCATTTTTTGCATTATCAATTCTAAATCCACATAACTTTTGTGTTCCCAAACACCAGAATTAGAATTGAAGTCCTCTATTCTAATTTCATAGTTTGAATTCCATTTACCAAACGAGACCTAAGACTCTAAAAACATTATGAATGCTAGAAAAATGAAAGAAGGAAAAAAAATTATATTCCCCGAGGGATTTTTTGTCAGTTGTTGGAGAGGTCAAGAACAGGGACCCAGCAAGAAGCAGGAACAGAGGATCCGTCCCTTCCATCCCAGCAATGCCCAATCGCAATCTTCATCAAAGACAAACTCTTTGTGGTACCCTGTCTTCACCTTCTTCCTCAACAGTCCCATCACCTCCGGGATCAACGGGAGAATCCTGAACCCGGCTCCGGCGCTCCTCGCCCCCCACTTCTTGTACGTCTCCGGCCTCGAAACCCTCTCTTCCCCGTCGCAGGCCACCACGTTAAACACCTCCCGCCCGAAGAACTCCTGCTCGAACACAGCCCTCTGCGGATCGTCCCGGGGCAACGTCTTTTCAAGAATGTCGAAATGGGCGTTGTAGTGGAAGAGCGCCTCCCGGAACCGGATGTCGAAGAAGGGGGAGTTGACGCTCCCGTTGACGATGGTGTGCACGAAGAGACTCGGGTTCAGTTTCCTTATCAGCCTCAGGACGGCGTCCCTCGGGTTGTTCTCCATGCCCACCGACTCGTCCAGCATGTCTTTGAATCTGAATATACTTGGCTTCTCACCGATGTTCTCCTCCAATAGTATTTGGCTGAGGTACTTGGACACAGGGTCATCATCATCATCTGGGGAGTCCAAATCTGCAGGTGGACCCTTGGACATAGGGTCATCGGCATCTGGGGAATCCAAATCTGCAGGTGGAACAAAATGGCCATGGTTGGGACCAAGTGTGGTCCAAGGGTTATCAG